CAAATATTTAACTGTTGAAACATTACTAACTTGTAGACAATCTACGATTTGATATTATACCATACTTGATCGTGCCTGTAAAAATGACATGCATTTTCATGTAAATTTATATGTTTATATGAGAATATACATTATTATTATTGCTATTATGTACTTCCAATAGTATTAACACTTAAAATTGTAGGTTGTTGAAACTTATACGTATAATGAACTTAAAATATCTATGTAGGGTGAAAAAGAGGGTGTAAGTGTTAGACGTAGGAGTGCATTGCCATCTTTGAGCAGTCTGATGACTGAGGAGATGAACACTGGGAGTATGTTTGCATCACGCACATTAGCTGGTAGTCTATTCCAAATGACTGAAAACTTATTTAAGAAGTTGTACCGCATATAAATCTGACAATGCTCTATAGCAGCTAGGTTGTGATGATTTCTAAGATTGTAACTGGTGACAGTGGTAGGTTTAGTTATTGGCCAGGAGGAATGCAAGGGGAGATTAATTTCACATAAATTAAGCATTTACATGATCCACATAGTTAGCTTGTAGTAAAAGATAAGGTTTAGCTTAAGACGTCTTTTTCAGAGTGGTTCTAATCTCAGTCTGTTGCATTGCTCATGGTATTCCAGACCACTTTCTAAACCAAGAGTTCTTGAGGTAAACTGCTGTTGCACTCCCATTAATTTAAGCTTGTCATTTTGTCTGGGTCCGCTAAGAATAAACGGGCAGTATTCTAAGATAGGTCGGACACATACTTTATATAATAAAACCCTAGTTTCACAACAAAAGAAATTGTGTGTTATGCAACCTATCAGCCTTCGTGCTTTACGACTGGCATAATCAGTTTGTTCAGAGAACGTTAGGTTACTAGAGTATCTAATACCGAGATCTACGACTGAGTTGAGCTTGGCTAGTTTTCGCCCACTTACTTCGAGTTAGGTCAAGCTTACTGTTGCCCATGCGAATCCAGCCTCATTTGTAAATCTTTAACTTTAGGCAGTACTCAGCACACGGTATTGCGAGACTACTTAGTTCAAGATGTATTTTATCTACCATATCGCTTAATTCATGAGTGTAGCAGGAGTAGACGACTTTGAGGTCGTCAGCATATAGGAATGGTTTGTCTGAGGTGAAACAGTTAGGAATGCTGTTAATGTAGACCGTAAATAAAAGTGGTCTTAGGACACTACCCTGCACGACCCCACTTGAGATCTGCCCAGGATGAGGCAATACAGATCCGACTTTGGTATTTTGTACCCCGTTGCCTAGAAACGATTTTAACCAGTTCATTAATGGGTTGCGAATTACACATGAGTACAGCTTCTCAAAGAGAATACTGTGAGATACCATGTCAAATGACCTAGATATATCGAAGTAGAGAACAACGACCAGCTTACGTGCTTCGCGACTACTAGTGATGCAGTTGAAAAAGTCGAAGTGGCAAGTAACGCAGGATCTATTTTTGAAAAATCCGTGTTGAGACCTTGTGACAAGATCTTCCCTTATTAGGTAGTCTGACAATTGATATTTTACGACTTTCTCCATGATTCGTGAGATAACTGGGGTTATATTTATGGGTCTGTAATTGCGGACGTTTTCTTTATCATCAGATATGTAGTGTGGAATTATGAAGCTAGTTTTCCACTCGCCAGGGTAAGTGCCAGTGTCCATAGATATTGAGAAGAATTTAAGAAGTAACAGGGGTATATCACACCCAGTTTTTGAAAATTATTGAAGCAAGGCCATCCAGTTCCGTGCTAGTAGAAGGTCGAAGAATTTTAAGTGCTCGTTCTATCAGATGACTGGTTAATACTGCGCTCCCGAGGGAAGAGCTCGTAAGGGTTGCGGTTTCATCGAGGATGCGCTTTTCTAAACCGAAGTTCACAAACCACTCACTGAAAACTTCAGAGATGGTGGCAGGCTCATTCTAGATTAATTTGTTATAAAGTAAGTAGGGGATATCCCTCGTCGACGGCATCCGTTTTTTCAACAAATGTCGAAACAAGTGTGGTAAAACAGTCATCCCACTGACAGAGTCGGATGAGTTCTTGGACTAATCCCCAGTCTGTATATTTGTAACTACGACATATCATGCTTCCCGAATCTTGTTTGTTTCCTGTATTTAGTGGTAAGAAAGGCAGAGAGCAGAGTACCATTCTATGGTCACTACTGGTAAACCTGTTACCAACATAGGTGGATACTGGGATCGTGTCATGACAAATCACAAGGTCCAGCATGTTGTTATTACGAGTAGGTGTCTGGATGTGTTGTCGCCATCCATAACAGTCGATAGTGGCAAGTAATTCGTCGAAGCGTTGGGGGTCGGAACTAGTTGGCCAATTGACTTCTGGAAGATTGAAGTCCCCTGCAATTATTTTGTAATTTGCACTAAACAAGGAGGCGTGCGCAAACGATTTAGCTAATAACGCATCAGTTTCTTTTGTTGCGCTTGGTGCTCGATAAACACAGCCTGTTAATGTAGTTGAAGATTGAACGATCAATTCGTGGTTGTTTGCTCAAACCCAACTCCTCCATATTTTTCACGGAAGTCATCAATCCATCAGTCATCGTCTCATCGTTTGTTATTCAGTGGAAGATAAAAAACTATCAGAATCCTTGTGTATGATTACCTTATTGTTGGTTACATATTGGCGTAAGAATGGAGGATTCTCGAGTCACCAATCTGTGTTCTAGTTTTTTCGCGTTGGTTATTACAAAGTGTTTCTGAAAGTCTTCAAGGGACTGAGTGAGGTCCAGCGCAGTAAGAGATGGACATTGACAATTTCTGAGAGTTGGATGACGCCGCCTATGAGAAGTTTGTATCCATCTCCATGTAGGACGACCCAGAGTGAATCAGGTACCTCATTCAATATTTCATCTTGCACCTTACTGACTACAAATGAGTTATGTATATATATGAGACATCCTCCAACACGCTTGCAATCTCTATTTTCATGGTGTACAACATAATCATCTGTACCTATATGCACATCAGTTACAGAGGATGGACACCATGATTCAGTAATCAGAGCCGCAGTAAGCTTGACGATTAATATTAATGTTAATGTCCTTATTTCAGATATCTTGTTGATTAAGGAACGTACATTTATTAGTAATATCGTGGATAAGTCACGGTATACTACAAACTAGCTTAAAATATCACCATAACCTAATTTTATTTGTGCGTCAGCTCCGCAAGAGTTTACGGATGATAAGGGAGTCGGATCGGGTGTTCATACATCGGAGTTAGAGTGAGACGAGGTGGTCCTAGGTGCCATGGGTCGTACCAGTGATTCGGGACACCCAAAAATTTACCATGTGCTCCTGGATATAAGGATAGTAAAGGTTGGGCCTGGGTTGACGGTTAAAAATCCTAGCAACAAAAGTTCTACCCATCCAACTGCTATTCGTCATACCGGTACACACCTTCGTGTTGTTATTATAACTTAAAGGAAATTTTGAGGGAGGTGCTTTGGTTGCAAGACTTTGGTGGTATTTGAGCCTGACCTTCTATAAGGTGGAGCATGCTGAAAACCTTCAGATATACTTGTGTTTCGAGAGGAGTTTTCGTAACAAGTTAGGGTTTGTTGACATTCTTACTCTCAGCAGGCTTATTGAATACAAGGTATTCTTCCCGATCATTAGTCTCAACCCTGCGAAATTTGTTCATTGTGATGAGGTTACCACGTTTGGGGGAAAATTTCTTAGAACAACTCGCAGAAATTCTAACTATTTTAAAATCTTTTGATGAGGCCTTATTTACAGGGGTACTGGTATCTAAATCAGCTCCTAGTTCCATTGGCAAGTGTAGTTGTTGTTGTGTGGTCCGCTGAATGCTAGTGTCAGCACTAGGTGACTGTTGCTGTGCACGAACCATTTTTGGTAAATTTAAGCCAGATGAGGTGACCAGATTATTACTACGCATTATTCTGCGCTAACACGGTGTTTTATCTTGAGCTACGGTTACAGACTTACAGTTGCTATTCAGTCTTAATTGATCCTGACATGTAGTCAACTTACCAGCTTCACGAGAAATACTGAACTTAAAAATGATGGGACAGTTAGCCTGGTTAGACTTTTTACGAAGTCTTTTGCATTCACATGGAACACTAGCCATACCGCAACAGCCGAGGATTTTGCAATTTACAGTCTTCAGAGGCAGAGAATCTGGGACGTTGTAAAATATAGCCTGGTGAGAAGAGGCCATACGCTTCATCGCCTCCACAGCCAAGCAGTCAATCAGATTTTCAGCTTTGTCTAAGTTATTTGGAGACATTTTAGGATGCCTTTTTAACAGACAGGCTATTCTGTCCAAATCCGCAAGCTTGTTTTGAGCTACATCCAGTAAAGACTTAACCTGGCCAATATCAGAACGGCTCTCCGTGATATTTGAGATTGGCAGTGACATGCTATCAAAATTGACCTAATTTTTCCTGAAGTTCACTCACTTGCCTCTGGCTATCTTTCACAAGGCGGTTTAATTTACAGAACTCAGAGTTCTTTAACAGAACATCTTTCACCTATATCACAGGAGTGAGATCTGCACTCAAAACACTTTGAGAGCTGGTAGTTGGCCAGGACCCAAACTAGTTAGTGGTATATCACACCTTCCTTATGATAAGAGGATGGAGCATTCAAATCTGTTCTCATTATCATACCGTAGGAGGAGAGGTGACTTCATGTTGGCTGACCCTACATTAAAGGTTGATGTAGGGATTTACCTTTCAAACCCTTTCTTTCCCTCTGAGAAAAATTTACCAGGTTATCACAAGAAGGTGCTCAAATGTGTGGAATTTAGACTCTTACTGAGTGGTGAACGACTGGAACTCCTTACCTAACTCAGTAGTAACAGCCTCATTGGCGGATTCTTCCAAAGAGAAACTGAATCTCTGCAGAGATATATATTGCAAGGATTAACATAGGCAACAAGAGTCTTCTCTCCTTATAACCTGAATGTGAAACCCATTTATGTCAGTTTCGAAATATGCGCCTTTCTAAGTCTGTTGAATATGTAGTGACCAATTAGAATTTGAGGCGCTACGTCCATGGGTAAGCGGCGTGGTTCCAGAAAGAAAGGTAGGATGTTTCCCCTGAAAGTCACCAATAAGTGTAGGATGTGTTGAGTTTGATGATGGGGAAGATATGGTGGACGTTAAAATCCTGAATACAGGGCGCGTGAATTTGAAGAACAAGCATCGACGTCTTAAAAAGTCATTGAAAAATCTCGACAGCGTACATTTTCTCAATGTTTGCAGTGATTATTTGGTTGCAAAATCACCAGAAACTGACAAGGTATTGCCGGATATTTTGCCACACTCGTGTAGCAGCGCTGAACTTCTTAATCTTCTCAGTACTTTCGTAAATAGGTAAGTATTAGTTTTGAGATGATATGTCGTTTGTGTTTGCGAAACTCCAATTGGAGTTGGCTTAAGCCAACATATTTGTAATCGCATAGCCTTACAATGTGTCAGTTTGGCCCACTCATTTTTATATGCCTTTCTCCGACTTACCAGTGTCAGTCCACTTGCAGATTTTGTATACTTAAGAAATTTGGCCAGATTACATTTCTTTTCAAAGGGAATTTCCTAAATGATAGTGTGCCGTAGAGTATACAGCAGTTTCTGGCTTTTATAAATTCGCCATTTCATATGTATATATATATATATATACATATGTATATACGGACTAATTTGTCCCGGATTTCCACCGGTGCATTTGCTTAGCGTGAACTTTTTTCAGGGAAATTGGTGTAATGCTTAGTAGAACCAACAAGTAGGTGACCTCGAAATAGTCATGATTGTCCTCAAACAAACACCTCGTAGTATGGAATCAAGTTATAATTTCTTTTTCTATGATACACCAAGATTAATTAACTCCTAGCCAATAAGGGCAGGTATTATCTTGTTTCACTGACTACGCCCATTCCATGTTACTGTTTGGATTTCCTCTTGTTTGCCGTCAGATTTTTGCTTTGACTCTGAGAATATGCTAACAAAGTAAGCTCATGTGTTAGTAGAAGTACTCTGCGACGAAAATCTTTAGTTGGACAAACCTAAGGTGTGCGGAAGTTAAATAAAAATAGTTTATTTCATGGGAAGAGTCCAAAAATCCACATATGGCGTGTTTTGTATCATGACAGCAAAGTTATATGTTGTTTGACCTTCCAGACAAAATACAACTTAATGAATTCACAATGTAGAGCATTTCATATAAGTGTATCAGTTTTTGTTTTCACATCATAAAAAATGTCACTATAGTACTTGAGTTTAAAGTGACCCATCAAATCCATACTTGGCTCGAATTAACAGCCAACAAATTGATAGGTCGGCACTGTAGTTTGGTATTTTTCAGTTCTGTCGTACATAAGGGTATACTACTCGCTGGCGATGGGCCGATAGGCGTGCCATCGAGATGTCGGGATTAGTGTCTATATTTAGTGCCTAACCTATTTACCATTGTGTCTGTTCTGTGGTTATACATGTGTTAGTTTCCCCAACCGGAAAAAAATGATCAGAGAATGGCTCAGTAATGGTAAAAATCTCGTCACATAGCCAAGATTCGCCCACTTATATACTATGGACCATGTCCGTTATTCACCCACTCTTCCCGTTTTGTCCGGCTGGGTCTTTTTAGTTCAATTACTTCCATCCGGATATAGCATACAATATGTAGCGAATGGCCCATTATGTGGTAACATTCCATATCTCTTCCATTTAGTTATTTCAACTTTCCTTATTTCGCTTCTATCTGTCTCTCTCCATTTATGTGTATGTCGTAACAAAATTCTTTTTCCTTGCAGGTACATCGATGTATTTAACGCAAAACTATCAAGAATTGAGTTGCGTCAGTTTTATGATACTATGGCGTATGTTACTTTTCAGATTGCCCCATACGTTTGTCAACCTGCAGTTGAGAAATGCTCCGACAAAAGTTTTCGGCCCAAGTATCAACCTTTGTGGGGTGTGTATGAACGTTTTGCTGTTAATCGCCTGCCCGGTGGTTTTCCTCTTCCTTCATGGGCCTGGTGTGCAATCAAAGAAGAGTCAATGCCTAAAAAGTCCAGAAATTCTTCTAGTCTGCCAAAACAAGATCGGAAACTGTTGAAAGCACTTAAAAGCTATCAAACAGGACATATACAAAGACTGGTATCGGTTTCACGCTCAGCTTCTAGCGCACCAGACCGTTGGAGAAGTGGCATACCAGCTCCACCAATGGCTAGGATGGAATGTCGTGGAGTCGACCAGGTCTTAGGTTTGCTTTGTCGCTTACCAGATCTTATACATGTAAAGAATGACAAGTATTCACATTTAGATGTGATATCATCTGAAGTAGGTGAACACTTCAATCTGATTTTTTAGCCACCAGTAGTGTGTCTACGATATTCTTGTATCGCTGCGGAGTTAGTCCCAAAGGACACTCGCCCTAGTGACCTGGAAAATGTTTCAGATCAGTTGTTAGATATCGCTCCTTATGGCAAGTTTGTTGTTCGTTTGGTTAATCGAACGCTCATATTACACCATATGGGTAAAATTATACAAGAAGACCTTTGCCTTACACCACTGCCGAGTTCATATGTTCAGGTAAGTCGTATTACTTTACTAGGCTTGCTAAAAGATACCACTAGTATATATGTTTAATCAAGAACTTTATATGACAGGTGGTCAAACTAAGTTTCTGGAAGCCTGAGATTTTGAATTGGCATTTCTATCTTAACTAAAGTCGTTAATATTAGCGGTCTTCTGCAAGAATGATCTTAAGAGACACTCGTCTCCAATCATAACTTGCTACATTAAAGTCTGGCTGTTTGAGTCGAACTGTATTCGCAGTTTGATATAGAAGTCCAGATACACGATGTGAAACAATTTTCACCAGTAAGTAGTTTAGTTTCAACTAGGTTTTCGCACATTACTCCTTTGCACTCAGTACTATTCTGCATCGATTAATACTTGTGACCATGAGTTCATTAGTATCTTTCTGAATTCAAAGTCAATGTTTGTATGACGTTTTTTAATTTTATGACACAATTTTTCACTAATTCCACTCAGAATTCACTCATTCCTTTATGTTTTGAGGGGAACACACGGCTTCAAGCTTTGTGCACTAAATTTTAAATTGCGGTGATGTTGTTTCTGTAGAGTGTGATTACCAGCCTCGCACCAAACCTTGCTTATTTTTCGGGCATACTACGGCTTCGAGAACTCTAGGAATGTACCGACTCGGAATGAAATCGCAATCATGTGCTTGGCTGGTGGACATTCTACCCTGGACCACTGATGTATTCACTCTGAATCACGAGAAAAAAGCTTTTTCATGAGGCGGAGGCTTATGTTTGTTGATATTATATTCACCTATAAGGTTTTCTATTTTAACATTCTTAGTTTTGAAAACGTGTTAGTTTTTAGAATGTTTTGTGAAAACGTTGCATTGAAAATGCACCCATTTGGAGTGTACTAGGTACGACTTTTTCATTTAATAAGTAATACTTCTCACTATTGTTGTCAGTGTTTAGAGGAATGTTTGCATTCTTTAATCGTATTAACACTAGTCTTCACGATATTTGTAATGCCTAGAATGTATTCGTGACATATTGCGCGTTACTAAGAAAGTTTGACTAGCACTCTACTTAATTATAAGTCACTAGAATCTTGGGTCTCTGTTTGATAAAATATTTTCATTCTTGGAAAATGCGAATAAATGAATGCAACCTAATTTATGTCTTAATGTCAAATAAAGTTCAAAAGATGCAAATCATAGCTACATTTATGTAGCTGATCTCACTTCGCTTTTGTGTAGTGTTATCACTGCTTCGTGTGTACATACAAAATACTCAGCAAAGCATTGATATTGTTAATACTAGTGGCCTGCCGCAAGAATGATCTTAAGAGACACTCGTCTCCAATCATAACTTGCTACATTAAAGTCTGGCTGTTTGAGTCGAACTGTATTCGCAGTTTGATATAGAAGTCCAGATACACGATGTGAAACAATTTTCACCAGTAAGTAGTTTAGTTTCAACTAGGTTTCCACACGTACATGTGCATGTACACTTCTTGTAATACTCCTTTCCACGTAACGAAAAAATTTGGTCATTTTTATATCCTGTTTTGTCTCTGTCAATACTTGTCCACTGGTATGCTTTTTGACTAATAGTAAATGTTGGTGTTATGCTGTCATTTATTTTATGAGACTTTATTTGTTTAGATGAATTTTGATTTTCCTATTAGTTAATGTAACCGCAATGTCCGGTCTCTGTTGACATGTCAACTCCTAGTTACGGATGCTTCAATTTTATTGGATGATTAACATGGAGTAATTTGGTGGATGGTGACTTGCAGGGAAATCCAGGATGCACATTTCCTCCTACTTGAAACTCGTCTGCTAGTTGTGCGTGTAATCCTCAGTAAGTGATGTCCCCACTGAAACTCGAACCTAATACCCTTCGCTTCAAACGCTAGAGCGTAATCCACTAGGCATGTCAACAAAGGTCGAACATTTCGGTCCTGTCAGTCAACGGGAAAATCAAAATTGAGTTGAATAATAACTGATGCGCTTTGCACACAAGATGGCTTCCGTAGCCCAAGTGGTCTAGTGAATTTGAAACGAAGAGTGTTGGCCTGGAATCTCAGTGGGAACATCACTCACTGACGATTACACACTCACAACCACCTAAGGAGCTCCAAATAGGAGGAAATATGCATCCTGAATTTCACTGTTAGTCACTATCCTTCAAGCTGTTTCATGAAATATTATTGTAATGGTTTTACTCAAATAATAGGAAACTAGATTTTGCGGAAAAGACTTGTGTTTGGTGATATTGTAATCATCGGTAGGATTTTGTGCTTTAACATCCCTGGTTTTGACGACGTATTAGCTTTAAAAATGTTTCGTAGACACATTCAGTTAGATTACGTACTCTTAGAGCTTACTACCTTTCATTGAACAAATTCTTAGCTTTCTCAGCTGAGTAGCACTTCCAACCGCTCTTATCAGTATTCATTAGAATTAATTTTTTCTTTAATTGTATTAACACTTGTTTTTACTACTTTTGTAATATCTGTAGTGAATTTATAAGATACATAACGTCTAAAAGAGGGAATCTGATCAGTATTCCGCATAATATAAATTACTCTTACTCTAGATCACTATTGCCAGTTGTCGAAACTGTGACCGAAATGCAATTTACTTCTAATCTTACATCTTGTGAACTTGATTTAAAACTAAATTTATGTAGTGATCTCACTTTGCTTGTTTGTAACAGTACCATTGCTTTGCATGTAGGTATAAACTACTCAGTGAGATACTGATTTAGCTTTTACGACATAATGAGGCCTATAAATATATACTGAACATCTGCATTATACTATTTCAATACAGATAAAGTAGGGTTTAGTCACGAAATAAAATGTTTGAATTTGTAATATTTTCTATCTTCATTATTTTAGGAATGTTCTTTGATTATTACGGAGGCTGTATCTAGTTTCATGATGTCCCAAGCATCACCTACGTCATCTTCAGTTCAGCAAGCTGGTTGCGCATTTGATGAAACTGTTGTTGCAAGATTAGTTGAAGAGTTATGCGTTGCAACTGGGATGAACAAAGCCTATTCTCTTCAATGCCTAACCGAGTGTCAATTCAGTTTAGATTCTGCATTACAGTCATTTCAAAAAGTTCATGCAGCTGGACTCCTCCCACCTGATGCTTTTTTACCGAATTGATAATTAATTTTGTATTTTTCACTGTGCAATATATATATTTTGTAAATATGTTTCTTCAAAATATTAACATCTTATGTTTTATAAGTTGCATAGACTTTTTCGTGACTAGTTTAAAGTTAATTCTGGTGTACAATGATAAAGTCCAAGATTAGAAATAGGGAGTGAAGTGGTAGAGCACGTTGACCGCTTCACTTATTTGGGAAGTAACATCAGCCCCAATGCCAATGGGTTGATCTCTGACGAAATCTCAGTACGGATACAGGGGGCTCGTTTCGCATTTGGCAGTTTACGCCGTCTCTGGCGTCGACGAGATATCCGACTATCGACCAAAGGGCGGGTGTACTGCTCATCAGTCCTCTCCGTCCTCCTTTATGGATGTGAGAACTGCCACTGAGAGTGGAAGACATGAAAAGATTAGCTGTCTTTGATCATAGGTGCCTGCGTTCTCTCTCCCGTGTGAAGTGGCATAATAAGGTGAGCAACATTGAGGTTAGGCGTAGAGTTCTAGGTAAACAGGGGAAATCAATCGTTGAAGTCGTGAAGTTACAAAGACTGAGATGGTTAGGACATGTGTTACGTATGCCAAGCCATCGCCTCCCTCGACGAGCAATGTTAGCGGATATAGGGTCAGGCTGAAAAAAAGCTAGCGGAGGTCAAACCAAAACATGGCACCAGTCAATGAAATCTACAACAGTGTCTAAGCCACGTAGGAAGGTGTAGACTGGATTCCTGGTTGGGGTCCTCGGGACGGTAAAAACCAATGGTTAGAAACAATTGGTGACATGGCTCAAAATCGTCCTCAGTGGCGCAGATGCATCCACTCCTTATGACTTATGATCTCCAATGAAACTGTTTTGTTCTTCGTTATTACTCCTCCTTTATCTCACACCTCTGCTTACTGTCTCTATTATGCTTCCCTTGTACTTTCTTCTCTTGGTTTGTGTGCTACATGGAGTGTGGGGACTTCAACTGCCGCACATATGTGCAAAGTTCTATGTCGAAAGCAGACAGACAATGATATAGTTCTATGCTTAATACACCATTAACTTTCATCATTGGCTGGTGACGTCTTTGTCACTTTAGAAACGCTGACAGCAGTCTTTGGTATCAGTCAGCCTTAACCCAAGGACTTAGATATCATAAACTTCTGTGCTAGACACCGAGGTGTGTCCATTTCCCTGAAATTAGCTGTACCTGCTCCATTTGTTACTATATGACCAGCTTATAGATGTAATCAGTAAACAGTGGTTAGCGCTAAAAGCCTCTAGGTGGGTAGCACCTACTGAACGTATAGTCACTAGTAAATTCTCACTGTATTCTGCTTTTACAGCGTTTCTAGCATAAGCATTAAGATGATTTTGTTATTGATCTGAACTGGACTAAAAACTAGGTTTTTCCCAGTTCATCGTATCAGACGTGATATGTATCCACATATATATATTTATGTGTGTGTGTATGTTGGTCTCTCAATCTGTTTTCTCGCTTAGTCTGTGACCATTTCACTTTGATGAACCTGTCTCCTTTAACAATGTGTATTCCCCTTATATTATATATAATATGAGTGTTTGTTGACAGTCCGTTGCTTGGTGACATATATCCATATATGGTGGTTGTTGACATGTCCGCTATATTTCGCTATGTATATATGGATCGATACTTCATTGTAATTAGCCATTCACGTTAAGACTGTCTAATGATTGTTCACACCCTTGTCTGAACATTCATATATATTTCGCTCTCACAATTTGTGTGACTGACTTACCACTTTGGTGTGATACCACTTATTGCTTCGCCTGGTGTTTTGGAAAATAGAAGTATCATCGCAAACCTAGTGGTCTTCTGATTTCCGCCTTCTTGCGTCAGGACTATTAAATTCTCGACCAGTACATAACAATAATTTGGCGACGAGTACATAACAAGACGTCATACATGAAGTTGCTGAATCTATTTTCCAGAGCAGTTAGTTCCCTTTATGAGTTTCGACAAAACAATAAGACGTCATTTATCTGAACCGTGTAGTGCATTCGCACAAAGCATTTCGGATATGCAGATCACACACGTACTTGTTGTGCGCATTTATATAGGAGGCAAGAGAGCGCCAATTTTTACAATGTAGGTCAAATCTTGTACAGGTCAACGTTATAAATACGAGGTAGGAAGATGAAGTAAGAATACGGAGTGATAAGAAGATAAAGACTGGATATTTGGAAATATTTCTAGGTAAATTGAATCTTGGTCCTAAAATTGGATTACCAAGGGAGGTTCAGGGTAATGACGAATAATTCTTGGACGCATGAAATAGGTTTAAGGATTTAACAAATTGCAGTACGTGACCCACACTTGGGTTGCGAAGTATTATTGACATCGATCCGTCTCTATCATGTGCTCCGCGATGGGTGATGTTGGACATCCATTTCCAGGACTAATTGTCTTCGTTGATTTTATTTGTCGTTGCAGCTATTTTGTGTTCTGTAGCCACAACCTGCAGAGACCAATGGGTCCTCCCTATTTACGTGTAGCTTTACATAGGTGTAAATTGGTAAACACAGTGGAATGTGACACTGTCGTTTGGATGCTGTGAGGATTTACAGGACAGCATAAATCTCGTTTTCCTTATGAATAAGTTTAGCTGCATATTGAGCTCTATTAATTGCTGCTCTGATTCTTTGTTCAGTGATCAGACTTTGAACGGTGAGGATATATAGATACGTCCTTTTTAGGAGCTGATTGGATTGGCGGAGTCCTTTGTTTGGTACTTCTGTGACGTTTGTTGATAGTTATTAGTAGTTGCCTAACAATGTTCTAGTGAGGTTTTATGTTTCTTCTTCAATATTGTCCTCTGTGCATATGTGCTGAATGCGTGTGAACGAACGTTTCACCAATGTATTTTGATGCTGGAGAGGATAGAAACTATGGTAATTTACATAGTGTTCCATCCAGGTGGGCTTCCTATTCACAGATCATCTCGTTGGTGTATTATGGGTACGAATGAATCATTATTTTCTTCCACGCATTTTATCCGGCTAAAGATTTCTGTGGTATCTGTTGGTTTTGTTACAAATGACTGTTATGTCATCCACCTATCTCTCACGGAAATATACTTCCCCAATTAAGTCTCCAGGTAGGTTCCTAACATGTGATATGTATACCATCAGCTAACGATGGACCTAAGGGACCTCCCATAGCAGCACCATCGATATGGCGGAAATGCTTACTCTCAAATGTAAATTTAACATTAGTATATGAAAGCAGTAACTCTTTCAAATAAGATATAGAAACTGGCAATAAAAAATTGTTATTGGGGATGTCATTCACATAAAATGTCAATTGTCTGCAACAGAGGTACATTTGTAAGTAGAGAATCTACGTCAAGGGCAAACATGATTTTATCCTTTATAGTGATGCTATGAAAACAATCTATTAAACTAAAGGTACCTTTCGAAGCAAATTTACTGGAGTTTTTTTAATAGGCTTTAGTATTTCCACTAACCACTGTACAAGTTTTCAGGTTGGTTATCTGCCCAGCGACATTATGCGACTAAGAGGGATTTTAGGTTTGAGTGTTTTGGCAGACCATAAATTTGTTTTAATTGGGATTCCGTGGGTTTTAATGGATTGAAGCTCTCTATGAATCGCATTCATACTTAAGAGTTTTACTGGATTGTTTGTCACTTTACTTTAGACAGCCTTAACCTCTTCTAAAGTGGAGTCTCTGGTAAATGTCTTTATTTTCATGGATGCATAACATTTTACTTTTATATTCAGTTTTATCCATTACAACTATACCAACACCCTTATCTGATCTCAAGATGGCAGTGTTATTATTCTGCTTTAGTTCTTTTAAATCTTTAAAGTTCTCAGAATGCTGTACGACCATTTCAAAGCTGATGTGCAATGTCAACTTATCTAGCTTTGAACAAACCGTGATGATCATCAGCAACAAGAACAAGAGGTTTCAGCTGGCCGTACAGATTTTCAAATTGTGCATGGATTTTAAGTTGGGAGAAATAGTTTTGACTAAGGCAAAAGTTAAGTCCAAGTTATGAGGCTTGTTTCTGTAATGAGGAAAGTGTTATGGAGGATAGGTTCTTCCACACTATAGAGACAGGTTGATTTCAGTAGTGCCCTCTTAATTGCATTTGTTCCCTTTTAGGAGTTCGAAATACGAGGACTTATACCGAAGTTGCTCGCTAGTTTTCTAGCCGGTCCCAAGCTCGCATAAAGAGGGAGGGTTGGACGTGGTGCTAGCAACTTCACCCCCAAAACTTAACCAAATTTCTACAGAAACTTCGACGCATAAATATATTTAAAAAAAAATACTAATTTCATGTGTAGGTCACATACTTCAACTCATTAAAGCTTTGACCATAAAAAGGCTTGAATGTATTTTATGTGTCCAAGAATTATTCGTCATTCCTCTGAATCTGCCTCGGTAATCCAGTTTTAGGACCAAGATTCAATTTACTTAAGAATATTTTAACCCTCTTCCTTTTCTTACACGTATTCATTTATCATTACTTTTCATACTATATACTGCAGGATTACAGGTGGGTGAGTTTACTCAGAAATAATCCTCCTGAAGTTATATTGCTCCTTTCTCAATCTGAAATGTTATCATATTTGTATCTTTTTAAGTTTGCTGAAGTAATTAACAGTTTTAAAGGTAATTATCACATCCAGTCTTCAATAAAGGC